CCTGGAAGAGAGATGCCTTTAGACGTGTTGGGTTCGAATCCTGACTCCATGATGGACGAGCTACATGGTTTGGGACAAATGCTGCATCTTCAGCCTCCTCACCTGCACAGCAGGAAGGGCGGTCATACCCACACAATCAGGTTGTTGGGAGAACTAAGTGAGGTCGTGTGTGATGTGTATTGTAACGTGCTTAGCACCATACCTCACACAGTCTATGATCAGTGAATGTTAGTTCTCCCAGCCACCTGCCTGTCTCTTCCTTTCTGAGGAGAATTTCCTGGCTGGGGGACTAGAGGCCCGCCTGTGTGAACACTCAACGGGTAAGATCGCTGGGGATTGGCCAGTTCCACGAAAGCTCTGGGTATCCCCATCATATCAACGGTACCAGTTTTATTTTTGGAGACAATAGAAGCAATCTGGTCAATTTCTACTGCAAATCTTAAAGATAATCTTCCTTAACCATACCTAACCCTAAGCAATTTTACCGCATGGAAAATCTTCAGCGTAGAGGTCTCAAATGACCGAATGAATACAAGGATGAATGAGCCCATGAATACATATGTAAAATGTTAAATGAACGTTGAAGACCTGGGGAGGACCATTTTCACATCATAACACTGCCATTACCCTGGAAGCCAGCCCTTGGATGAGATGCTCTCCAAAATTTGTACTGCTCTTCCCTCCGCCTTCCTAATGTCCATATTCCCAAAGCAGCATCGCTGATATGGGAAGGCAAGAGCAAAGACTGGTGAAATCAGCAGGCGCCCCCACTGTGTGCCAGATAATTTTGGAGCAGATAAAGTCATTAAGGAAAATTTTAACAATGTATAACCTTTCAGCTTTACTCGGCTAACAGCAGGTAGCTTGCCTTGCAGAAGCATGAGCCTGCACTGAAGTCACCAGCAAGCAGGACTTGACCTTCATTTTCAGTATACGCAGTATTAAATATTCATAATCCACATAACTGTAGCATAAGAAGTAGCTGAGTTTAAACATGAATCAAAGGAATAAATATCTCCCCACAGGTGAGTCATCCTTTCCAAGAATGCCCCTGGAAAAAATGCAAATACCCAGGGCCTGGAGCCTCTGTCTTTTCCAACTTTCTCTTGAAATTCTAGAAGCAGCAGAAACTGCTGCATTATGCAACCCGTGAATCCTGCCCTCACACTGACATCGTTGGGTCTTTTTTTTTTTTTTTTTTAATCTATTAGAGAAGAATTACTGTTCCTATGTCAAAGAGAGGAAACAGACAGGGATGGAACTAGCAATGGTGACATTATCACCCACAGGGTGTCTGGGGCACTTTTGAGTCGGTTGTACAATTTTTAAAAAATCTTTGCTTCACAGAGTATCAGAGCATGTGGGAGGAAAGGGTCGGCATAGAGATCAAGAGACATCAGAATTAGGAGCTGGAGTGGCATATGCTTTAAATTGGGCAGAACACCTTTAAAAAGAATGAAAAAGAAACAGAGTTCTTTTGGGCAATATCTGTGTCGTGTGGCTAATTTAATATCTTTTGAGAGATGGGGTTACTGTGTTTGGAGGGCTTAACGCTTCTCTGTGTCTGTAAGGAATTGACACTTGTGTCTATCCAAAGACTTGGAAGAACAACTCCCTCTGCTTGGGTATTTCTAGAGAGTCTACCGCTGGGATGATGAAGCGTAATTTTAACACAGTTTAATGTAATTCTCTTTGGCTTTCAACTCCAGGAGCTCTGAGCACAATCTGTCTTAGCTAGATAGCAATCACTCGAGGCTGCGCAAGTGATTCTTCTGTGGCGATCACTCTAGGAAAATTAAGACCCAAAGAAGGGCTCCTCAAATCCTTGAATGAAAAAGAGCTGCTCAGGGACCTATCTTGGCCTAACAACAGGAAAGGAAAGATGTGTAGGAGAGGCTCTTTGGAAATGACTTACCCACTGCCTCTTGATAGTACAATAAGCTTGGAAAGGTTAACAAGATCAGAGAGCCACCAATTATGACACGTATCTGAACTGTCTTCCCAACCTGCTGCCACAAGGAAAGGGAATAACCAAACCACCCAGCCTGCCAGCCCATTCGCACAACCTGAATCGACCTGCCTGACACTGAGCCAGCAGGGCAGACCACCAGAGCATATTTCATATATTAGTCTGCCTCTTCAAGGGGCTGGGTGCAGAGAACCTTACATCTTGAACTTGTGCTGCTGGAGCCTTCCCCACCATTGTTGGGGAGGCCAGCTCTGATTAAAATTCACTGAGACAAGCCACCTCACAACAGTGTCTGCCCAATTAAGCTCATGCAAAGGGAAAGCCTGTAGATTTATTTATTGACTGATATTCCATTTATTGACTGATATATTCGAAGGGCATAAATGCTAACAAAAATTGGTCTGAAGAATACTAGGTTTTTCCAGGGAGATAATATAGTGTAACTTCCCAAGAGAAGTTTAAAGCTCTCTTTCTGAGATGCCCAAATGGCCAGCCAAACCACCAGTGTGTCCAACCGATGAGAGTTTGAATGGGAAGATGGATTTGAAGAATTTACATTCAGCCTTCTCACACATTTTCCATTTGCACCTTATATGTGGATAGAATTTAATTTTCTCTTGTTTACTCTGCTTGATTACAATGTCTCATATGTTCTTTTTTTATTCCTGGGAATCTATGGACTTGCCGTAAAGGTTACTTTACAGATTCTACTTCTTCCTCTTACTTAATGTGAGCATGCTTCGCGACTACCCCCAGGAAGATGGAAGACTCCTTGGTATTGGCTGTGCGGATCAGGTGGCCCGCAGGACAGAACCTTGGGAGATGGCTACAACCAAACGCAGTACTGCAAATGAGAAGTGGAAGGGCTGACAGAAATAAACGTAAGGTCTTCTTATAAACCAAGTCTCGCTTTGCCAAACCACAGAGGTCAGTCACAGAGAAGAAAGACTAAGGCTAGGACAGTCCCCAGGGAGAATGGGGACAAGCTTGGTTCCAAGATTATTGGCATTTTTGCTGAGAAAAGTGGAAAATAGGACTGACTGCCCATCTTTGGAATAGACTCTTTGCAAGTCCATAAAAGAAACCACAGCCAGAGAGGGCTCCCAATGCTGGCTTTCCCAAGACTTAGGAAAATCATAACAAAACCCAAAGGACACTGCGGTGCTGCAGGGCATACAGGGAAGGGGCTCTTCGCCTTGGGGAATTCCATTCCTTTCCATCCTCAGGTAGAGCCGAGAACACCAGAATCTGCAGAACAAAAGACTACCTCTCAGTAGACACTGTAAAAAAGGACACAATTCAAATCCATCTAACAAGAGCATTTTATTTCTGAGAAATACAGAGGGGCAGAAAGGGCGGGGAAGGGAAAGAAGATGCCGAGGCATCTCTCCTAACCAATCACCACACTCACCTCCATGTAAGGGTTTGCTCTGTCTGGGGCACACATACTACATGCCCAAACCCATTTCCTGAGCCTGGCATGGAAGTTGACAGGGTATGCACCCCCTGACACGTGAGAACACTCCTCACTCCTGGGAAGAGAACGGAGAAGTAAGACCAGGGCTTTAGAAGATCTTTGGTTCAATTCAAATATGATCCAGAATCATTAAGGGTAGATATTTAAAAGAGGCTTACCTTCAATGACATACCAGTTGGAGTTTTCCAGACTTAAACAGCCCTTCTCTTTCTTGGCCAGGAAGAGCTGATGGAGGGAGCATGTAGAATCTTGTCTCCTGGAGGGCTCTGAAAGGACCCTCCACCTGAGGCAGATGAGGGCAGTCCAGCCTTGTGCATGAGGTCAGGCTGAAGGATCTCTGATATTCTCAGACTTGGCTGATTCCCAGAGGTAAGTGATTAAAGGGATGCTTTCTTTATTTTCCCTGACATGGCATTTTGGCCTCAGCACCCAATTGCACAAAATCCTTTGGATGGTGACCAGATGCCTCTGAGAAATTCAGAATTTAGGCGTGCATGAAATTACTACCATCCTGAGCCACAGAAAAAGAGCACTAAGCTCAGAATTCAGGCACACCAGGGTCTGTGCCAACAAGGACACAAAGCAGGTTCCTGGAATCAAACTCTAGTAGGCTGCCATACCAGGGATAGAGTTTAAAGAGGTGAAAACACTCTCACAGTGGACAATGCAGGCACAGAGTTCAAGTTCATGTCACCACAGAAAGGCGCATCAGGCCAGCTCGGCTCCAGCTTCCCAGACGCTGTCAGCCTCAAGCTTGCAGTAGAATAGTTGGAACAAATGAGGTACCCTGGGGGGACACCTGCAGGAACCCGGGCAGAGTGGGCCACCACCTAACAGCTCTGCTCAGTGACCTCTTCTGCCTCCTATAAAGTCTTAAACTCTATCACAAGACCCCACCTCAGGCTCACCCTAGAGTACCAGGTCACTCAGGCCGCACCCCAGGGGTCTGCATGAATGTCCGCTCTAGGAAATCCTAGATGGCCGCAGGCCTCCGCCTCTGGGAGTCGCCATGAACTCCTCCATCCCTTCTGTTACCTTCACAAGTCGAGAAGCACCAACGAGCAATGCTCCCACGGAATATTCTGCTTGATAGCGGCAAAGGAGAGAGCCATGCTTCTTAATCTGAACTCCAATAAGATTAAAGCATCAGAAACCCCAATGAGATGAGGACCTTACACCCATGGCAAGAATGGCTCAGGCCCTCGTTGGCTGGACACTTGTAACCGTCCCAGTGGTTGGACACTCATAGCAAAGCCCTCTTAACCTCTCGACATCTTTAGTGTAAATACTTCAACAGGACACAGCTATTTCAAAATAAATAATACCCAGCAAAAAGGCTTACCATCAGGTACCTCTCCCTCCCTCTTGTGCCAGCAGAATCAAAGTAACCTTCCTTGTGTAAGCTTATTTTCCCCTTCAGAAAACCAGCACAGGGTTGCCCTGCCTTCCTCTGACGGCCTTCTAAATTTTGGTGTTAAAGTAAATCAACTGATCAGTGCAGAGGCTCATGATTGTTTTAGCAAAGAGGGCAAGACAACGTATTTGAATACTCACTTTGACGAATCTATGAAGTATATTACAAGTGCACCAATGCTGAGAGCAAAGACTAAGACAACCTGCAAAAGAAGAGGAATATGTCATCACTTAAGAGCCAACACCCGGAAGCTTTGTGTTTGGTTTTTGGGTTTTTTTAATTTTATTTTATTATGTTATGTTAATCACCATACATTACATCATTAGTTTTTGATGTAGTGTTCCATGATTCATTGTTGGTGCATAACACCCAGTGCTCCACGCAGAACATGCCCTCCCTAATACCCATCACCAGGCTAACCCATCCCCCCACCCTCCTCCCCTCTAGAACCCTCAGTTCGTTTCTCAGAGTCCACAGTCTCTCATGGTTCGTCTCCCCCTCCGATTTTTTTGACACATGCGGCAGCAGCTGGGAAGCAGGGTTCCGACTGCTTTCTGGGACCAGCTTGGGAATCTCAGCCCCCTGGAGGTCCCCACAGGATGCCCTGATGTGGCCTCCGCACCTTGCAGTGGGCAGCAACCTCAGTGCTGGCCAACAGGGGTCAGGGCAGACTCTTGTATCTGTGGCGCTGGGTCCCATCTTGCCCTGTCGCCAACCGGGTCTAGCTTCTCCGCAACTGAAGTCAGCACTCTCCAGTGGGAAGGGCAGGTAAACACTTAGGGTAATACAATGGGTCGTATTATGTGCAACCTCCACCCAGAGGAAGTGTCATCTAGATTCGAACATTTTCGTCAATCCCTGTAAGACCCCTCACATCCATGAACAGTTAATCCCTGCTCCTGCCCCCAGTCCTAGGCAACCCCTGATTTACTTCCTGTCTCCAGGCAAGAACCATCAGTTTGAAAAGCACAAATTTGCTGCTTGTACAAATGTGTGTGTGTGTGCACGTGCGCACGTGTGTGCCTGTGTAGTTACAACACTTCTCAAGTATTCTGGAAATGGTTTAGGTGAGGAAAGCCAAATTCGGTAATACATGAGAGCCAGCTACACGAGAATCCTAGTTCATCTTTACACTCTTCACTCAAAATTAATCACCACTGATATAAAAGACAGTCTGGCATATCCTCCAAAGGACACCTGTCACACTGAAGCCCATCCAGTGCATATGTCGCAGCTGAGGCTGACACCGACACTCTCCATTCTAGTTTGTTTATTTAGGCTTTCACAGAGGAGACCAGTAGGGCAACTAAATGGATGCTAATAAGAAAGATGAGAAGATTGGAAACAAAAGTAAACACGACCACCAAACACACCACCAACAAATACCTTTCAGACACGCTAATATCTGAAAGGGACTTGGGATGAAAAGAAGTGTCAGTCTCCTCAGAGTTTCTACATATCGCCATCCCTCTGACATCAGCTGGCGGAGAGAGATGAATCCCAATTTATGTAATGACTGGGCACGGTCAAGCCGTGTGTGTGTGTGTGTGTGTGTGTGTGTGTGTGAGTGAGAGAGACAGAGAGAGAGAAAGGATCACACACACATATCTGTATTGTGTGTGTGCACCACAGTGGTGGAGGGGAAATGAAATCTGCATACGGTATTCACTGAAAACATTGCAGAACCCCATGGAGCTACTGGACAGACGGCCGACCACACAGTAAACAGTGACAGTGACAAACAGCCCGACATTGTGGAAGGAAGACACAGCCTCATAGCACCTAACAAACTAGCCTTATGAAAGGAAGTGGTAAAACAGTATACCACTGGGGCTTATTTAATTCTTCCATTTTGTCTTAAAAACTAAACCACGCTGCAGCTGAATCCAAGGTAACACTGCAGTCTGCTGGCAATCACCATCTCTTCGGTGCTAATCCCCTTGGCAGGCTCACCCCAGGCTCTCCCCTCACACTCACTCATTCATTCTTTGCAAAGTCATCCACAAAAACAAACAGAAACATAAACAAGCCTTGGCTTTTCCCTGTATTATCTGAATGAGGCAGCAAAACAAATAGCTTAAGATTAATTTTGATCTGGTTGCTATTTCTGAGACATAAGCAGTTAGATCCTGGCCCCGACCTCATTCTCAAAATGCTGCAAAGAGAAGGGGCGTGGCCAGGACACAGGGGAAGAACCTCTTCTTCATTCATAAACAGCTGACCAAAGACTAATCTCTGTGTGGGTGTGTGTGTGTGTGTGTGTGTGTGTGTGTGTTGAGCTTTGGTCCAAGCTGGCTATACCGGCCAATGAAGGGAAGGGAGGGCAGGGATGCAGGGGAGAGGGGAGGAAAGAGGATAGAAATCCTTGCAAATGGCATCTACATCATTATGAAACAAACTCAGAATCTAAGCTCTCCTGCAATGGTGAGGATTTCCCAGCACTGGGTGGCCAGACGAAGTAGCTGACACTAATTTGTCCCAGCTGCCTTCACTCGGCCTCTGTGACGGGGAATAATGTGCAGCTTATTTAAGCAAATCAGCCAGTGACAGGAGGGGAGGACTCCTGCTAGCTTCTTAAGATGCAAACTCAAATATCAGCATCTCTCTGACAGGGCAAGGGAGGGAAGAAATCCAAGAGGAAAATGACCTCCAAGAGCTGAAGATCCTGATGAGTGAACCTGTTCTTGGGTCCCCATGTTCGGCCGGAAGGCTTGCTCTTGAGGAGGTACAGGGTGCCCAAACTGTTCCACCCACCGGCCTCCAGGGCTGAATGATCAATGGGGAGGGGACCAGCTCCTCAGGATTAAGGCAACTGTGCATGTGCTTTTTAAAACTTGCTAAATGGCTCTTTATCATGTCAGGCTTGATTACATTGTCAACCTGGATCCAGGTGCTGCACAAAATGAATCAACCCTTTGGATTATGCCATGAAAATAGGAATCCAACGGACTCATCTTCTACGGGGCCCTGGCAAAGGACTAGCAAGTGCTCACTCTCTCTCCATCTCTTCTCTCTCTCTCTCTAATAAATCCCCCACTGTCTGAGAAATCTTCTCTAAATATGAAAAAATTCAGTCCAACTATACAAAATGGTTAGATTTTTAGCCTAAATGCTAATGGTTATGTTATAGAGCACCCCCAAATAATTATCTAAGTACTTATTTCACATCTGCTATACTTAAAGCCCTAGGAAAAATGGAAAAAGTCTACTTGGAGTCATGAAATATACTTCTTTGTGGAGTAATCCTTACATAGTAATCAATGTTATGTTATGCAATTAGTGCTCAATTGTATGGCATAGGTATAGTCAATCTGTAATAAGGTATTGACTAGGTAGAGATACAAATGGGAGAAGAAGTTGGGGATGGGCAGGAACCATAGAGGCTCTTGTCTCAATATGCTCTTTGTTCTCAAAGTGTCCCTTCTTCCTACCTGTAATGGCTACTCCTTCCTTCAGTAAGGTGGAAGCCAATGGGAGTCCTTCCATATGCCTTGATAGTCCCAGGGATAAAAGGCACTGAATCCCAAGGGACATGGTAAAATGCGGCCAAGAGAAGCAGAATACCCAGGATGCAGAAACGCTAGCCCTCCAGCAGCGGGGTCACAGAAGACCCCTTACAATAACCAAGCACTCTACAAAGCACGGTCGCAAACAAGACCTTGCAAACACAGTCTGACATATGGGACAGTATGAGCGTTCCCTCTCGCAGCACACTGTGTGCTGACCTCTGCCAGAGCCTTTCTAGCTTTTCACAGGCTGGGGTCACCACCAAATCACTGCGGCTACCTGGGACGGTGTGAACTGCCATATTCTTAGCTTGACTGAAAATACCTACAAGCTATGTGGTGATACCAAGTACCGAGCGATATTTACAGAGATGCCAGATACTAACAAAAGTGATTTGATTCATGTCATTGAGACAAGGGTACTCTTGAGTTATCTGTTCTCAGAAATGCAAGATCAAACACAACATGCGTTTGCACAGAAGAACGCCAGGAACACAGACCCACAGACACACACACTGCATTAAAACAAACAAACAAACAACTCTGTCCATAACACTTGGCACCAGGAGCCTGACGGTAAGTGGAGAACAGAGAGGGGGAGATCCACAGATATTTTCATGATGGACATTCCAGCAGGCCCTGAAGATCTCTCAAACATCTCAGAAAGTTCATAAAAATGGAAAGCAAGATGGCAAAGAACAGAATATCCCCCATCAGGTCACTGAAGATCTTCAAGGAAAGGACAGTCCCAGTGAGATGAACACAGAATGAATGAATCAGGAAGGTGGGCTCTTAGACACGCTGCCTGTTCTAGAAACTGGTTTCAAGCTGTTGAGTTCGACCCAAGTGCTTTCAACAGACACAAGTCACGAGTCTGTGAGGGCCTCCAGACACTGATTGGAGCAGAGGCTCAGAAAGGCAGCTCCCCCCACAATCCCATCACTTGAGTGGCACTTCTTAAAAAACAGAGATGCCCTCATCCTGCCCTGGAACCAGAGAATGGCCAGCTGGGAGGACGGGGAAGCTGGGCACCTCTATTTTTCACAAGCTCCTCCAGTGAATCTGATATATGGCCAAGAATGGGAGTCACTGAATTAGAGCCATTAGGGGAAACCACTTAGCTCAAGTCAGAGATTAATTTACAAATGTCGCCTTAACAATTAGCCCATTAGAACATATGTATAAGGCCTGCAGGCTTTGAGCATCGTGCTAGCAGGACTCTAGAAAGTAGAGAGGAGGATGAATTAATTCTCTCCTGAGCAGGTTATATATACATTCTGCTCAGCTCACAGCAAAACAAATGACCCTAATTAATGATTCCGCATGTTTGATTGGGGCCTAGCCAGCTACTGGCAGCAGCGACCCCTCCGAAAATGGACTACTTTCTACATATAATCCCAAAGGCACATCACTATTTTTTTTATTGAGGTATAATTTATATACAATAAAATTCACTATATAAAAACAATGGACATGAGAACTCCCAAGGCAAAACAATGTGGGGACGTTTTGTTTATGAGTGATAACATCATTCCACCATCCAAATTAAAATGTTTGGTCTGAATTTAACAACTCCAACAGACATTTATTGAACTCCTACGTGCAAAGCCCAGAGGGAGAGAGAAGGAAATAGAAAACGAACAAAGCAAAGTCAGGCCTGGTCTTTGCCCTCAACAAGCATGGAATCCAGAATTTG